ACACAAAAAAAAAAAACCCAAGTAAAAGTATCACCTGAAAAAAATCTACTTAAAGGTGCATTGTGTAACTTTTCTGGTGGAGGCTCCGTCAAATGCTTTTCTCCATGGAGATGTTATTACTTTGTCTGGAATGTTTCACAGTATGGCATTAAACCTTTCTATTGTCACGGACACCAAACCACAGCAAGTTACAGGTCAGATCTGTGGAGAGGCGACACCGCTCACAGTCAGAATGCTTGTTTTTGGGGTATTTTTTTGAGCGATAAAAATATTAAATTGAATAAATGTAAGGTAGAGCTGTTTAAAGTCATATTGTGGAACATTCTGAGCAGGGCAATGGCATATTCACAGATATGACATTGAGATTGTGAAGTTTTCTGACTCTACACCCAAAAAGCAGGCATTCTGACTGTGAGTGGGGTCGCCTCTCCACAGATCTGACCTGTAACTTGCACTGGTTTGGTTTCCATGACAATAGAAGACGATAGATGTAGTGATTTTGATACAGATTTGAATGAACTGGACTCGTGACTTGGACTCGAGTCAGACTTGAGTCACTATTTTTAGGACTTGAGGCTTGACTTGATATAATGGACTAAGACTTGGGACTCTACTTGGACTTGAAGGTCAGTGACTTGGGACTTGAGAAGACTTTAGAAGCACTTTCAAATCTTAATTCTTTCTGTTCTGACTGTAATGATTCACACTAAGATCTTGTCAAGGCATTTAAAAAGGAAAAAATAACTACATTAATTTCTACAACTCTTATATACTCTCTCTATATATACTATAAATACTCATATAGAAATATACTATGTTTTTTTTAAGTATAATTTATCTTAAAAGTCATAGAAATTGCACAAATCTAAGCTATATTTGGTACTTTGATTTGAGCTTTATGAGTCTTGAACTTGACTTGGACTTATGGACCAGTGACTCGAGACTTGGACTTGCCTGTATTTGACTTGGGACTTGACTCGGACTTGAGGTCAAAGACTTGACACTTGCCAAACAAAGACTTGGTCCCACCGCTGCAGATTTGTGCTGAATTCAGTTCAAGTAGAAGGAACTGAATTTTCCAAGCTGTTTTATTTGTATATTTTTGTTTGCTCGAACTATAAAACGTGTTAAAAATAACCCCCAGGATTTTCAGCAGGTTTCAAAGTATAATAAAAATACTTTAAAATTTCAGTCCCGTTCAAAAATGTAGTGGAGTAGAAAGTACAGATACCTGCTCTCAAATGTGGTGGAGTAAAAATATCCACTTAATAAGTACAGATACTGAGCTACTTTTACTTCATTGCATCATCTTAAAGATTCACTGCATAACTTTTCAATTGCTTTGCCTGGGATCTTCCATTGTATAACATTAAACGTGTCTATCTCCACGAAGATAAGGCACCAAGCCAAATTATACACCAGATCTGCGGAGAGGCCACGACGCACTTAGCAATAACGCATGACTTTTCCATTTTTGTAGAATAAAGAGTACCTAAAAATAAGTATGAAGTTTTATTTGAGTACTTTTGTATGCACAAAATGTGACTATACTGCTCACTTATACAGTCTGGAGTAGGGATGGGCATGATTAGTCGATTAATCGATAATTGATCATTAAGAATTTCATCGATTATGTTCATTTTAATCGACACACCGAATGTAGGTTGCTGTGTGTAGCGTGACCAAACAGGGGTCTGTACATGTGTCTCTCTGCACTCAGAAGGAGCGAGACACAAACAGTGGGTCAGTCTGCAACGTAACGAAATGCAAATGCGTATTTAACGATGACTTGTACAAGAAATTCCACACTTTCCGTTGCGTTCGGGACAAGTGTGAGGACATGTGCACAGTGTATAAAGCAGGAACATATGTTTCGGTGTCCAGTGGGAAAAAGTTTTGCCAGGTGAGAGTCGCGCAATGTCGATGACGCGTCCCCACCTCTTACCGCCCGTACGGTGTCCTGGTTTGGACAAACACAAATCTGGTCACACTAACCTGTATTCCACTGAGTCATGTCTTTTAATCTGACAGAAATTGACCGCATCAGCGACACAAGAGCTGTAGTTTTATCTTCGCTGAGTTTATGCAAATTAGCGATGCGGTTTTAAGTTTCGTTTCTGTGAGAGTTGCGCAAAACTGAATTAAACACATTATAATGTCAAACGGATTGATGTGGCTCTAGAGTCGTTACGGTTTATATGTCGTAAAGTTGATTTATTTATGCAGATTAGTAGTGCAGATAGTAATAATAATGATAATTTTAATATAAAAACGTTAATGATTAATCTATAATCGATCGTTAATTCTTCCGACGATCGATTAATAAAATTTCATCGAATGCCCATCCCTACACGGTACGATATTTATTACGATATCATGGGAAAGCTCACGATATGGTGGAGAGGCTCATGATTAAGGATGCAACAATATCCAAATCTCTCTGTACGATATTTTCACGATATACAACTCACGGTACGATATTTATTGCGATATTTTGTAGAGGCTGACAATCCTGTTAATATGCCACTTTTTCTTCTTAAAATGCCTTGACAAGACTTAATCCAAAGAACTAAGACTTAAAAGTGCTTAGAACTGTAGTCTACACAGAAATAGAGCAAAGGATCATGGTCTATGTAGTTCCCTCTGTCTTATTTGAGCTATTTCCGCACCATAACTCTTAATTTAAGCAAAGAGATTGCAATTCGATTTATTGTGATGGTCCACGATATTATTTTGAGAACTCTGACGATACGATATCACGATATTTCGGTTATTGTTACATCCCTATTAGATCATTTGGGGGAAAATAATAAAAATCGTCTCTGAATATCATCCCTAAATGAATCCCTAAATATCGAAAAAAGCTTATCGGCCAACTCTGGATCCTAAACAGTATTGGTATGAAAAAATCCATGGCAGTCGATCTCAAATTGTAATAGAAATCAACCAACAAAACCTGCGGTGAATGGGCAAACAGCTGTACCAACTGCCCTCTGCAACACCAAATACGGAATAAATTTAGACTAACAACCCACACAAAATCACAATGAACTTTCGCTTTTTACTACTTCGAAATCCACTTTAAAACACGCAAAACTGGTCTCACGTTCGGAGGAGTTTTCAAGGATTCTCAAAACTGCTCACTCAAATTCCATTAATGCTTGAGTAAAAAAAAAAAAAAACGCACTCAAGAAAATGTCATCTACGTTTTTAGACCTCAGCGAGTTCACACGGCGTTCGATGTCCAAAACACAGACAGCTAGAGTTATTTCTTCTTAAATATCAAGCCTTCTTCCATCTGTAGACAGCAATGAGTCACTCACAAACGCCCCCATTCAATTTCACAGCAAAAACTTCGCCCTATTGAAAAACCTAAGATGTCATTCACCCATTGTCACTTTATAGAAATGCTCAAACGGTGGGAGGGTGAAGAATTATAATCTATAGAACAAATTTTGTGATAATTACTTGCAGTTTAAGATGGTGTTGTTTTATTTTACACATTAAAGCTCCCATATAACTCTATTTTCTGATGATATAATCTTGTTTCCTCATCACAAACAGACCTGGAGTTGTGTTTTGTTTCATTCACCCTTCATGTTTAGGCTGATTTCTTCCCTCGAACGGAAAAAACTCTGCACCAATTTGTCATGTCATGCGGTAATACAGATAGAGCTCCACTGTGTTTTTAAACTCCACACACCTTCGCTACAATTATTTGGATCATTTCAGACCTAGAGCGCCAATTTCTACTGATCTAAAGGTAAAACGCAGATGTTAACTTGAAAACTACCGCTTTCATGACATCACAAGGTGGGACAGAGCATTTTGAGCTTTGGCGATGTAGATGTAGATAGTAGGGATGTAACAATAATCGAAATATCGTGATACCGTATCGTCAGAAGTCTCACAATAATATCGTGGGGTGTCTTAATATATCAAATTTCATGTTTCTTTGCTTAAATGCTCGGTTTTACAGTAGCAACAGTTTACGAACATCGGGAACTACATATCCCATAATTCATTTTCAGTTCAGACAACATGAAGAAATATGTTCTTACTTGAATTCTTGGGATTATGATGGAAATAATTCACACAAAAATTTTGTCAATGTATTTTAAAAGCAAAAAAAGTGTCCCATCTACAATTATATCAGCCTCTTCAAAATATCGCAATAAATATCGTACCGTGAGATGTATATCGTGATAATATCGTACCGAGAGATTTGGATATCGTTACATCCCTAGTAAACAGACTAAAAACGATTACTTAATCATGTGTGAACGAAACAAAACACGACTCCGGGCATGTTTCTGACAACATTCTAAGGTGACGTAAAGCTCACAAGGGTCAATTTTCGATAGTATCTCCATGGAGACAAGCAGGTGACATCACTAGACCAAGTTACAAGTCAGATCTGAGGAGAAGTGACTCCGCTAACGTAGTTTTTGAGCACTGGTAACTGGTAAATGCAAGAATGATGATGGAACATTCTCAGCAAAACAACGTTATCGCCATGGACACAAGCAGGTGGCCAACTTAAAGGTGAAAAGTAGCACACCTTTACGACCAGGTGAACTCATTTTGTCCGGGTTTAACTCCAGTTGTAGCCAAGGTCTTCTGTTTCAGGTCTGGTTTAGTCCGGATTTGGTTCAACTAGGCTATTTCAGAGCTCCTTTCAAAAATGTAGGTCCAACTCCATCTTTATAGTGGAACATTTTAATAGCCATGCCACAATAACATAAATAAAGTGTGATATAATGCGACTTTCTTCACTCTTCAGTTCGGATTTACTCTTTTGTCAAACATTACATCGCCTTTTTCATGTCAAAATGTTGGTCCAATAAAGTCACCTCAGAGATTCTTTCAAAGAGAATACCAATAGTCCATTTACTTTCAAGACATACCTTTAGTAACAAGTTTTAAGAATTGCATCGCGCGACACAAAGACACGTAGCAAGTCACGGTAATCCGACTATGCCTGTCTTCCCGGGGTTTACCTTGTAGACATTCTCCGTTATACGGTGCACCTCGTCGGTCCGGGACATCTTCGTCGGCGCGTCAGTCACAACCATAGACGGGACTGGACGATCGGATGGGTCAGGTGGAGTTACGGCGGGGATGGCGGTGCTTACGCTGCTTGGAGGCTCGTTACGGCGGCAGAAAGACTCGTGTCGTGAGTGGGATTCCGGCTTTTAAAGGAAAGTCCCCCGGCTGCACCCACACACACACATACACACACACACACACACACGCACCGGCTCACCACGCACAAGGACGGGATGAACGAGCGGGAGGGAGGCGCAGGCTGGAGTCGGTGCAGCGCAGAGGCGGACTTTACGCCGAGGCGCGTTCAAGGGCAGTGGGAAAGTACGGAAACCCGCACGAATGACCTTTCTCGCACAGTTATGAATGGCGAACCACTGATGAATTATTTATGAAATCTTTTTAAAAATCCTCCAGTGGTCGAGTGGCCTATTTTAAAATCCATTCACAAAATATCGGTTTTTCAAAATCGACTAATTGTGGCTATTTTAGGCTCTGTCACCTATTGCCTGTTGTTGGTCATTCTAAAAACCCATGGATTTAAAAAATTTTCCCAATCTCATTATATTATTTGATTTATTTACTAGTTTATTTATTAAAAGGTCCATGTTGCGCTATTTCCTGATCTATGTTCAGTGTGGGAAGTTTACTTTTAAAATGTATTCTTCTACAGATTACAGATTACATGCCCCAAAATGTAGTTTGTAACGGAATCCATTAAATTACTTCAGGTGATTTATGTAATCTGAATACTTTGGATTACTTGATATTGTCATGCTTTTTGAAACTACATGAATGTAGCAACCACATCCTGAAAATTCTTGTTTGTTCTCATCAAATTGTTTGTTGAGCTCAAGGCTCCATGAATAAGCAACTGTTTAGTGTAGAGAAGCAAAGACGAGAATCTGAACATAAAATGTTTTGTTTTGTCTGCTAAAAGAAAATAAAAAGCCCAGTCTTTACTTAAACATTTTTAAAAAATATTATTGATAGAGAAATTATTTTTATATGAGATCACTGCTGCCTTAAATTATGTCCACTCTACTGTTAGGTGTCATATTGTTTAGACCTGGTTTAGTCCTGTTTTAGTCCTGTTTTAGTCCTGTTTTAGTCCTGGTTTAGTCCTGGTTTTAGACCTGGTTTTAGACCTGGTTTTAGACCTGGTTTTAGTCCTAGTTTAGTCATAGTTTAGTCTTAGTTTAGTCCTGCTTTAGTCCTGCTTTTAGATCTGGTTTAGTCCTGGTTTAGTCCTGGTTTTAGTCCTGCTTTAGTCCTAGTTTTAGACCTGCTTTAGTCCTGGTTTTAGACCTGGTATAATCCTGGTTTAGTCCTGGTTTTAGTCCTGGTTTAGACCTGGTTTAGCCCAAAATGTGAAAAAAGGAAAATACCGCCATGTAATCCATTTATTTCAACAAAGTAACTGTAATCCAACAATTACCTCTCTCGTGATATCGTATCGTCAAAGTTCTCACAATAACATCGTGGACCATCACAATATATCGAATTACAAATCTCTTTGCTTAAATTAAAAGTTATGGTGCAGCAACAGCTAAAAAAAAGACAGAGAACTACATAGACCATGATCCTTTGCTCCATTTCAGTGCAGACTACAAGAAGAAATAACAGTTCTAACACTTTTAAGTCGTACTTCTTTGGATTAAGTCTTGTCAAGGCTTTTTAAGAGAAAAGAGTGGCATATTAACAGTTTTGTTAACCTCCACAAAATATCACAATAAATATCGTACCTTGAGATGTATATTGTGAAAATATCGTACTGAGAGATTTGGATATTGTTGCATCCCTAACCGTGAGCCTCCCCACCATATCATGAGCTTTTCCCATGATATCACAATAAATATCGTACCGTGAGACTTGGATACTCCATACACCCTCCCTAGAATAATCTGGATAATCTGAACCCTGGATATTCCAATCTAGGCCAAAGACTCATGTTGTATTCCTATTACCTGACCAGCCAGAACCACAGGCTTTGACAAAACTTTACGAAGACGAGTGGATCTGGAGCTGTATCCTGTCTCCCTGATTTTAGAGAGTGTGATTGACAGGTGGATTAACCAATCAGAAAGACGCATAACATAACAACATGGCTGCTTACACATAAAAAAAGAGAAAAAGCAATTTGAAGAACTGAGAAACAGCATGTATTTTCTCAGAATCAGCAATCAAAGTACCAAACTCTTACTTATCTCAAGTAAAAGAAGTGATTCATTTTGTTCTGGATGTTATGAGAATTTTCAAGCTGTGGTTGAACCGTCTCAAGTTTGGATGAAGGATTTTCACTCTCCATTGTCCAATTCAAGACTCTCCAGAATTTCAGATTGTAAAAGGAACTGGCTGATCAGACAAGCAGAGCTATGGAAAAGAACTCATCAAAACACAGGACATGATCAGAAAGACTGTCTGACCCAGGAATTCAACCCACAATCTGAGTTAAGATAATTACAAATGGCCCAATAATTAAAACAACCCAATAGCTTAACCGTAATAGCCGCACTTTTACAATCGGGTCCGGTCAAGTGGTAACGGAGGGAAACAGGGGCAGATTTTTTTTACATTCAAATAGCTCTTATTCAGAAACTAGAGGGACTACTGAAATAAGAAAAGTATTAGAATGTAGGAAAGAGTTAACACTCCAACAGGGTAAAGTTAAACCTGTGATATTCTTTCAAGTTGTTGACAAAAAATTTTAAAACTCATGTCGGTAACGGAGGGAATGAAATATGCAGCACTTTTTGGGCAATAAATACAAACAGTGATAACTAGCGGTTCTCACTTACATATCCTTAACAAACTCATTTAAATATTTGCTTCATATAGTTTTCTACCATGTGGTACAAGATTAGGTTGAAAAACCTCTTACTTTTTGAGTCATGAGATTTTTTATTAAGAAAGGTCATGGTAACGGAGGGAAAATAACAGAGGGAAAATTGTGCAAGCAAGTAGAAGGTGCATGATTTAGCATAATTTGTCAGTTTTTTTCTTCTGAAAACTTTAATATTACTTCAAAATGAAAAGAAACTATTTCTATAAAATATGTCAGTCCTTCCAAGCAAATTTTTTATAATTTTAAATACTTTTTTGTGAAAAATCATGTACCTTCATCAACAGTTCAAAGATGGAATAACACAAGATATGATGAAATACATCCATTTATTTACATGATTTGCAGGTCTTTGAAATTTGGGAAATAATTTTTGTTCCATGTTTCATACATGGTCTGTTTAAAACATATGTAACTTTAGAACCAAAAATGGTACAGAAAAAAGGTAAGCAGTTTCATAAATTAGAGTACATATGCTATCTATTGAATAAATTTTTATATCAGATGCATTAACTAGAATTTTTGGCCTTGCTGTATACTTCTGCTTGACCGGGATCAAAACATATACAAACTTTTCAAATAGTTTGCATAATTTTATGGTCTTTTCTAAGTCTTGTAAAAAGGGAATTCTCCAGAAGCTACCTTAACTTATAAAAGGAACCCAGATATATATACGAAAACAAAACACATAGTTACAAGTTATAATTTCAGCTCATCCCACACCGAGACCCGATACAATCCTACAGTTTTTGTTCTAACACACTCTAAAACACAGAGGCTTGTTGCTGGGAGAATATTATTTTCTGTACTTATTGTTTACTCTGTTAACCTATAGGCTAGACTATAATGCTATTTTAACTTTATAATAGTATCATTAATGTAACTAGACCCTCAGCTCCACCCTTTCCTTTCAAAGTGACCTTTGAAAATCCAACCTTTATGTGAAGCTTGTACAATGGGTGTGTGCCATTGAAACATATAGACGCACAAAGCCTTGTCTAAAAACAGTTATACTCAAGGCACCTCCAGGATTTCCCAGGAGAAATCTAACACTTCTTACTATATGCAGTGTTGGGGAGTAACAGATTACATGTACCGGAGTTACGTAATCAGAGTACAAATTATGAGTAACTGTATTCAGTTACAGTTACTGTTTCAGTGAGTGGTAATTGGATTACAGTTACTTTGTTGAAATAACTGGATTACACGGTGGTATTTTCCTGTTTTCCTGATTTCACATTTTAGGCTATATCCCCCCATTTTTTTATTTATGTTTTTTTTTTTTTTTTTTGGTAATTCCACTAATTGAGGGAAACTAAACCAGGTCTAACCTAGATCTAAACCAGGACTAAAACAGGACTAAACCAGGATTTAACAGGACTAAATCATGCTGCATGGACTGTGTCTCCTCCTCTTCTATCAATAATATTTTTAATATGGTTAAGTAAAAGTCTGGGCTTTTTATTTTCTTTTAGCAGACAAAACATCTTATGTTACGATATCCTCGTCTTTGCTTCTCTACAGCAAATCAAGTAATCCAAAGTATTCAAATTTCATTACTTCCCTTAAGTAACTTAATGGATTACAAACTACATTCTGGGATATGTAATCTGTAATCTGCAGGGGAATACATTTTAAAAGTAAACTTCCCAACACTGACTATATGTCACTATTTTCAATGTATTTAAAAATGTCAAAAAGTACACATAGAAGTATCACATATAGAAAGACTACTTCATTGTTGTTTGGAGCTCAGTGTTTCGTGGGGATATTTTCTATGCAAAAATGGGGAGATTTTTGGTATTTATGTTATTGTATGGGATGAGTTGAGCTATAGAGAGTTAATACGTCACTTTTAATTAGAACCTGACCGATATGGATTTTGCTGTGGCCGATATGAAACCAATATAATGGGAGTTGGAGCTGCCGATAGCTGATAGAATCACCAATATATTTAGTGATGTAAAAATTTACTGTAAATCTTGAACTGTTTAAAAAACTTAGGTTTGGCTCTAGTGGATTTTAATTTGGGTTTATTTAGGCAACATTTATTGTTATTCTGCCTCTTTATGTCATATTTACAGACAGTAGGTCGGCCTAATGGCATTTTTTCATCACATTTTAGCTACTAGTGATGGGTATTCCAGTTCAGTTTAGAGAACCAGCTCTTTTGGCTCAGCTCACTAAAAGCAGCTGGCTCTTTTGGCCCCCAAGTGGCTCTTTGGATTGTTTTGTTGCAAACAGGACAAAACCAGGTCGTTGGCCGTGGCGTTTTGTGGGACAGCAGCAGCTTCATTAACAATTTTCACCAACTTAAGCGCGAATAGTGATGTTTGTGGCTTGTTGATAACGTGTAGGTCGGATGAATGCGCTTTGGCCGTTCAGACTGAAGTCGCATGTCAAAAGATCAGATATGTGTCGGTTTCAGGACCAC